GAGTGAGGAGCACTGCTGGGGCCAATTAGCTCTGTGACCGCTTCGTTTAGGAAGATCTAAAAGGCTAAACTGAATGTATTCTGAGCAACGCTGCAGGATGTTCCTAATTTAATCTGTGACTCCAGCCTATCAGACTACAATTTACTAAGCTCCACTCGACAGTTTTTGACTAACATAATAAGTACCCTGTGTCATCATCATAAAGCATACAATAAAACTGTCACAGCTGTTCCCATTAAAACGCTGTTAGAAAATTCTATTTTGCATTTTTAAATCAGATTTTTAATTTGTATTATTTATATTTTTACTACATTATCTTTTCTTTTAGCTAATGCACTTTGTCACTGTGAACTAAGAGTCAGACACTGGCTTATCATAGACATATTAATGCATACTGACATTTTTTTAAAGCACACTGCAGAGAATCTGAATTTAAGTGCTGTTATAACAGCGTTTGTCCAGCAGAGGGTGCTCTATGTGTTCAGCACTGCAGCACAAGTAGCAGAGAGTCATCAAAGCTGAATGGTGCAGAACAAATGGCTTCTTCACTTAAGTTACAGTAACTTTATGGTTTAGATATACTGTATGTGTATTATACATAAAGAATATGCATTGCTATATTTATTAAAGGATTTTTTTTGTATCTGTCCCCAAAAATCACATATCAGTTGCTCCAAATTGAATAAAAATTTGTTAAAGAAAAATTCCTAGACATAAAGTGTTAAAAGGAGTAAAATGAAATAAAAACATACAACATAAAACATAAATTGGTTTTTAGTAAATCAAACTGAACTGTGCAAACAGATTATGGGCTGTTCCCCAGTACACAGGGATATATTCTCTTCCCATGAGACGTGTTTTTTGACCTTTCGTCCACACATAAACAATGTTTTAGGTCAGTGAAAACAGAGCTTCTGTGCACAGTGTTATTTGTAGCTTCTGATTGGCCAGTATTTTCAGATTTTTGGGGGGGGTTTCGTGATATTTTCAAAATGTAAGCAGAAAATCCCTGTTTCAACAAATCCCCGCATACTGCTTCTGCCAGCTGCTATTTACCGTTTCCATAGGCCCAGTCATCATTGAGCCTGTGCCGGACCTTCTGGTAGATCGCCGACATGGTCTTCATGTTGCTCTTCCTCCACTGGCGGCCCAGGTACTTGGTCTGAATCTTGAGCAGTTTGAGAACATAGAGCTGCATCATGGCCTGCTTCACCTTCAAAGCCCTCTTCAAGATGGGGGCAGACTTGAAAACAACCAGCATCTGAAAGAAAGATTAAATATAATGAAGCAAATTGAAGGCATCTTACAAACTAAATGTCCCTTTAACAGGATGCACACTCGTAAGGAGGCAGATATCACTTTGCATTCAATATAAAGATATTGAATTCAGGTGGGCGTTCCAACCTAAGGCTTCTTTATGAGACGCAGACTAATGCAGATTTACACACCATGGTCCTCGAGTGTTTCCACTTGGTCAGCTTGTTCAGGATTCTCAACAGATTAATGCAGGAAAACAGATTCCTCCAGCAGAACTGACTGCTGTCTCCGGCTTCCTGAAAACACACGTGAAGACACCGAGAACGTCATTACACAGCGAGCGCTACGTTCTTAGCTGACTATTACTCACTGAGGCTCAATCAGTGTGACTCACCAGGCTCTCAGCTGTAAGCTCAGGCATCTCATGGACCACACAATGGGGAAAGTCCAGCACACATATACTACAGTGTGAAAACACAGAAACAAACAACGAGAGCCAAAAACTGATAACTCTGCAGGTCAACCTGTCACCTGTAACTTAATGTGAATCTGTATGAACCTCTTTTAGGTTATTACACCAAACAGATGCTTGTGCGACTGATCGTCGGAGGTTGAAAATGGTGACGTAAATGGCGCTGTAAGTCGAAAGGATGAGAGAAAAGGATCCTACCTGTTTTTGGCACTGATGTAAGACATGATGTTCTGGTTAAAGAACTTGAGGATGAGTGGGATACAGTTGGCAAACACCAAGTGCTGGGAGACAATCTCAAACTGCAGGGAAAAAAAGAGGAGGCGGCAGTGAGGAACAGTCTGGAGAAGAGCCATGGCTGAAAATGCAACTGTTACATTTAGTGATATGTATTG